ATAATATAAAAAAATTATCCATGTAACATCACTTTTTTTTAATTTGTTAAAAAAAAAAATCTCAAACCCTCCTTGTAGAGAACAGCTGGAAAATCACAGGACCGAGAGAGCCCCACATTTCCATCAAAGCTGACCCAGTCCCATGCCGCCCGGCTTTGTCCGGCAATGCTTCTTAGTACAATAGCTCCTATTTTTATTTTTTTATTATCTTAAAAATATAAAAAAATTAAAATAAATATTAAATATATTTTAAATATAACTTTTTAATATTAAAAAATAAAATAACCATCTACTTAATACTCCCAAACGAAGCCTAGAATCTTCCCATAGAAATTCGTTGGAGGATGAAGGATTGTCCATAAGCAATGGGGGGATATAACAAATTGCAGAAGCTAAACAATTTAGAGATAATCTTGGTACCTACCTGCACTCAAGTTACATAGACCTGAGCAATTCAAGCACAAACAGCAGAATCACTTAATCTGATAATGTCAGGATAAGTTCATGTATCCTGATATACCAGGAAATATTACAACAAACTTAGGAAGAGTAACATACCAGAAAAGTTTTCCGGTACCTTGTCCAGTTTTTAACATAAAACATAAACTCAACCTGAGAAAAGGTTTAAAGAGGGCCTTGTCCATTGTTCTAAGCAAAGAAAACACAAGCATTGTACTTCACGCGTTGTTTAAAACAGCACCAAACTGGTCATCCCAGACATAATCCATTTTTTGGGAATCATGAGGAAAATACCAACCCTTCAAAGCTGAGATGGCATGAAGTCGGTTTGCTGGAACAACTGGGAAACTCTCAATAAGAGCACCAGCGAAGGAGTACACATTGCATTCGGCTGTCTTATATCCAAGGTAGTATAAGCAGTTAGGCCGACCTCCCCAGCTGGTTGCGCTGCGTATCCTGCAGCACTGCAAATGAATCATGTAACTCAAAAACAATGTTTGATCACCCAAGTCATCCACTTTCACCCACTGGCTGCTCACCAAGTCTATCCTGTAAACATGAAGCCATCTAGTAGGCATAAAATCAACCACCAGAAGATGCTCATCTGAAGCCGCAAGCTTAACATGAGGACTCAAATAAGGTCTGCCTTTGAGTTCTAATAGTGCCACAGTTGGAGGAGATTTCAGAGACAAGACTCCTATCTGAGAATTATTTGTTAAAGCATATATTCTAGATCCAAAAGCAATTATGTCCACAAATACCCAAGGTTTCTCTTCAAATGAATAGAAATTCCACTGGTGATCTCTGGATCGGCAAAACTGCAGATTTTGATTCCTCGAAGAAAGAGCTACAACCAGAAAATCTGGATGAGGCATGGTAAAGGCAAGGATGCAGCGGTCACTCATCCATGCACGGTCGGGGAAAGGCTGGAGCAGCCTAGGAAATTCAAGTTTTTGTCCTGTCATTGGATTTGTTAACATAAGATCAGTGCTTTGCATGATCAAGGATCCACTTGAGATACCAACACAGACTCTACCAGAAAACTTAGGCAGCACAGTCCTGTATGTGTCTCGGCTAGACATGTCAAAGAAGAAACAGGTTTTCTTGGCACGTGATGATATCACCACAACCATGGGTGCCTGAGATTCTAAGAACTCCTGTTTGGATGCTGCAGTAACTAACCTCCAATTTCTACAGACATGACCAAATGAGAGGTAGTCTGCAACAGAGAGACCTTTAGAGATTTTAGTTAGAAGATCCATTGGAAGGTCGGACCATTGGCTCCAAGTGCTGTCTGCCTTGGATGTTTTCTTATTGCCACTCTTCAAGCTTGTGCCTGCTTTCATCACAAAAACATAGGAGTTTGTATTTACAAAAATGTAATATTACAGGAAATTATGCCATCTTGTTACACAAAGTAATCACAAACACTCCACTTCCTTTCTGAGTTTACCGTAGGTTAATATTTGGATATGGTAACTTTTCTTATTCATGTTTATAATAATGTGAGCTATTAAACATTTCTCAATCAGTAGAATAATTGGACATGTAAATCATGCTATACTCAAAATTAGTTCTTGGCCAAATGCTATACTAAAAATTATAAAGATTTTGGGGTAGATTGCCTCATATCATCATGAAGGTGCCTCTAGAAATCCAAAATTTAAATTTCCTACACAATTTTCCTCTAGCCCAAAAGCTTTAACATTTGATACCAATCATCAAAAACTGGACCGCATAACAAAATATCTCCCTACGCCATGCATCAACTAAAGGACCACAATATTTACTGAACCTTGATTTTCTATGCACAACTATCTACCCAAGGCTAGGACAATCATATCAGATGCATTATCATCTACCAACACCAAGGAAACTAGTGCAGAAAGATTTTTCAGAAATCAAATATGGGGAAGTGAAACTAAGATCTAGGAAGAGTTCTGTGTACCAGAGCTTCTTTATCTAGTCCTTAGGAAGATGGAAAGTTGAATTAAAAAGAGGTTAAAGAGGATGAAAGAACAAAATAATTGGAGAATCATAGTAGTTCACTAAAACAAATTTACTACAAGTGCAAACTCAAACTCTCTTAATAGGCATTTAACCAGCTAACCAAAAAGCAGAATTTCAAGATATAACTAAAGTATGAGATAGCACAGAATTAGCAATATAAATCACAAATGCAAGTTCTAGCCACCGAAGATAGCAAGTCAAAAGGACGTCAAAAATATATGGAGAGGTGATGCCATTAGTGGCCAACTGGAAGCATAGCATCCAGAATGTTGGCTGAGGATGAAGCAGTGAGATTACTCCAAGACTGGACGTTTTACAATAGACAAAATTGTCTAGTGATTGACAAGACAAAGGGCTCAAAACCTAAAAATTTAACTTAACACTTTGGCCATGAACTTTGCACATTACTAATGACATCACAGACCATGCAGTTAAAAACCATAAACTAATAGTTATTAGCATAATTTGGCAAAATGCATGGCCCAGCAAGCTTAGATTACAGGATGCATAGATCAAGTTGCACCAGGCTAAGCTATTAGAAGCCTGAGATAAATAATTTATAATTGACAAGCCACGTAAAATGTAAAAAATCACACTAAAAAGTTATCCCTTTGTATGGTTCCAGCTATTTTTTTAATCTATTTGCCTTGATATTTGCAAATAACAAAAAACTAAACACAAAAAAAGGAAGACAAAGTCCAAATTCATAAATAATATATCATGTACAACAAAATCAAGTATACACAAACATTAACTTCCTAGTCTTTCTCCCTTTCTAATCATGCAAAGTTTTAAAATAGAAAAAAATCCGAGTTGTAATTATCATATATTATCTTTTTGACCTTGGATGATATATGAAGAAGGCATTTTTTGAACAAAATTAGATAATTATTAATCCCATTGTCATTTGGGATTCTTGTAAGTTTAATCGAAAGAAAGGAGATTTTTGTGTTTCTGACATGATTAAATAATTTAGAATTATAAACAATGCAATTTTTCTGTAGATATATAGATTTATACATGATTTTGTAGCTCAGATTGGTCAATTTTTGTACTAAAATCTAAATGCGAAGCAATCAAAATGATTACATGCAGAAAGAAACTGAACCAATCTGCACACCTCTAGTTAGTACTGCCACCTTTAAAATTGATGGTTAGAAGGGAGAACTATCACAATAACTTCAAGAATCATTTGAAAACAATTATTTTCAGATCAGATTGCAAAATCCCCTATATCAACAGATATAAGAATTATAAAACATAGAGATATAATGAGAATTCAAAACCAGGCTGTTTGGATCACTCCAGCAATTACTGTTATTCATTTGCACACCTCAAATTGTTATAGCTACCTTTAAAATTGATGTGTAAGATACCAATAGAGGATGAAAGAGGAGAACTATCATGATAACTTTGAGAATTGTTTGAAAACAGATGTTTTCAAATCAGATGAGAAAAAACCCTATATAACTGCCTTCAGAATTATAAAACATTGAGATATAATGATAATTCCACCAGACTCAGATCACAAAAAAGAATTATAAAGCATAGCGATGCAATGATGATTAGCCATGAATAAGTCAAAATCACATAGAACCATACCTAATACTGACGAGATCGTTTTTCTTGGTCGCCGACGGCAGTCACCACTGTCACCTTTCACCCTGTTTTCCATTCTCCCTCTTCTTATCAACCTAGGAACTGATAGACTCCGAACTAAAACTTGCAACCTTTTTTCATCTTATATAATGGGAAAAAAAAAAAATCATTCATGACACTTGTCATTAAAACCCTTTAGGTTAGCATGCAGTGTCACGCCACACTTACCCCATTAAACTCGTGTCTGGTGCTCCATGTATTTTGAGTAGATCTGAGAGAATTTGGCATAATCCAAGCATGCCAATTCCCTTTCGATACAAACTATAATCCACATTAGGTAGGTATCTCTATGAATTATTAGAACAACCAGCGAGTGTTAAAAATCTTATTGCAAATTTTTTAGGATGACAAGTCTTTAATGCAGAAACTAAAACACACGTCATCCTTTTTAAGGACCCTATAAAGCTTTAGAAATGCATATATTGAACACAAAAAATAAAAAATTTAATAATATGAACATCAAAAAAAATAGAGAGAGTGAAGCATAACTGAGTGATTAGTCTACAACAAAACACAACTACATTTTTCAGAGTCTATCCTTAACGTGTAATACAATGTGAACACTGGAAGACCATTTAATTAATGTCACATAGCTAAAAACATAAACAGGTTCAGAAATATTAACAATTAAATTTGATAAACATTAAAAGAAAGGCTGGGATCCAGAATTCCATGTGTCATACCATACTCTCCTCCTATATTAATCAGAAATAAAGTTTAACATACAAAGGAGTGCTGTGACTGTGGCTTTTCAAGTGTTCTATTATGAGAAAAATTGTGTTATTGCTTGATAATTGCTTATGACTACTAAATTACACAAAATATCAATTAAAATTAATTTCATCATAATAAATCAACACTTTTAATGAGGTGCTGTACCATGGAAAAGCAATCCCAAACACAAAATTAATCTGAAAAATTACTAGATGTGTTTTCTTTCCAATTTTTGATGGGTAAAACACACACAGTAATAACCACCATCGCCAAAGCAACAAATCCCTTGAGCAGATAAAAGATAAATGATTATAGAACATAGAACAGATAAAGCTAAACTTAGTATTCAACATGATGGACTAATTCACCGAAGTAAAACTCAGACGAACAGGGCAGTCTAAGTAACCAAACAAAAAATTCGAAAAAAACAAATGATATTCTGATTTGATAATATAAAAGATAGACAATAATTGCAAGCCCTAATTCGGAGTCCATTGATTGCAGGGCAGATTAGATGATAGAAAATTGGAAAAAAAATGACACTGAGGCGAATTCTCAGTTGCAGATATCGCCATGAGCTTACTGAGTGATAAGAACCCTGGTTGAATAAGTCCATGGAAGTTGGAACTCATTATCATCAGCTTATTAGTGTCAGATTTCAGCTCTGAAAATGGTGGAAGCGCTCAATGTTGCGCTGCGCTCGGTTATATA